CATGTCTCTGTGTTCTGGATCTGTACGGTTGAGCGTTGGGACATGTTTTTGTGTTCCAGATGTTTCTTCCTCATACACATCATTGAACATCCTGGTCAGTCAGACTTCATTGAGATGTAGACTTGAAAAATTTGCGGAAAATAATTGTCTCTGTGTGCGTACGTGCGTGTCTTTATCGGTTTATGTATATAGTTGGTACTTTAAAGGCACTCCACGTATCGCGCCCGCACGCGCGCGTGTTTGTGTGTGTGTGTTTTGGGGGAGATACAGTTGAGTGTGTGGGGACACGTTAGAGAGTGGACCACTGTGAATGTGGGAGGTGAGACCGCTCGAGTTTATGCGGCTGCACTGGGGACCAGTGACGGTACTTGGGGAATGTAGTACGTGTGTCTGGGGCATACACCATCCCCACACCCACCACAACGTGTGTCTAATCCCCGGGACTGAGAGAGAGAGAGAGAGAGAGAGAGAGAGAGAGAGAGAGAGAGAGAGAGAGACTGACTGACTGACTGATTGACAGACAGACAGACAGATTGTGGCCTGTCTATCAGGTAGGAACCGTACACTGGAGGTCGGTAAATGTGAAGTCTCTCCATCAGGCGCTATCTCCGTGCTGTTGCAAACAAACACCAACAACATCGTGGGTGCAAGGCAAAGGTAAATCCCACACAGATAATGCCGTAGGGGGTTACGGTTTGTATCTTCACCGGCTGAGGTCACAGCATAATGAGGAGATAGGGACAGTTTTCCTCCTCATCCTCCTCCTCCTGCTTCTTCCTCCTTTCATACCCCATAATAGAATATGCCCTCAACCAATTCAAACTCTCTGTAGACTTGTTCACTGTGGCGGGATTTTGTAATTACAGTTTTTCAAGGACAATGTCTCATACCAACACCATCTAGTAGCCTCTTACGACATGTATTATATGTCACAGTCTTATAATTCTTTAATAACTACCGAAGTACAAAATAAGCATTGCCTTTACTTCCCAGATATTATAGACTTATTTTTATTCTCTCCTCCTTCTTCTTCGGGTTCACAGGCTGTAAACTCCGGCAGAAAGTTTTTGTTGTTCGTCCATTCCTGGACTTTCGTCTTGTTGGAGAATATGAGTGTTGCTTGTACATCGGTTTTACAAATCTAAATTATTTGTATGCAGACTGTGGTTCCTTACTTCTCACGCAGATGCACTCCGACTTCGAAGGAAACCCCCAATTAGTCAGCTTTTACGACATGCTTGCAGAGAAGGCATGGGGTCGGTTGTTTTCCCCAAAACAGGGCTCATGGACCCACGGGGAAAATTCTCTTTGTTACTTTTTATTCCGAAATTACCATTAATAAAGCAGTTCTGTTGTGTTTTACAAACAAGCTGCGATATCTGCTCCTACGCCAACACGTCTGATTTAAGCAAAACCTTTTCACCATGTGGATTCTGGGCCCCATTTGGGGGTGGGGGGGGGATATACCAATTGCCTCTAATAAGTATGTCGTAAGAGGCTACTCATTATGGGTGTTTCCTTCGAAGTCAAAGTGCGTCTGATTGAAAGGCGAGGAACCAACAGTCTGCATACAAATAAGCAAGATCTGCAAAACAAATGTGCGCGCAAAATTCAGATTCTAGAAGAAAACTAAGGCCAGAAATACCATAGTTTACAGCCGGTGGAGGTTGAGAAGAACAAGCAAACCCTTAATTAGTCGACTTTTACGGCATGTTTGTTGAAAGGCAGTAGGTCCAATCTGGCGCCCCCCCCCCCCCCCCCCCATCCCCATAGGGACCCAGAACCCACACAAAGAAAACATACTTAAACATCAGCTCAATGGGAAACTTCACGCTTAAACTATGCCAGCAGGCACAAGTAACACATACACATGTGTTTGCATAGACAATGGTCAACATCTCCCTCTGAATAAGAGTGTGCTAACCCAAGAGTTGTGTCGATAGTTATCCTTCCTTAACGGGAGATATGGACCAACAACTGCAGATGGATACAGTCTTCGAAACACCGTTTGGGACAGGCTTACCGTATATACTCTGATGGCTAGTGATGTGGCGCAGAGATAGCCCCAAACTTACAGTATATACTCTCATGGCTAGTGATGTGGCGCAGAGATAGCCCAAACTTACAGTATATACTCTCATGGCTAGTGATGTGGCGCAGAGATAGCCCCAAACTTACAGTATATACTCTCATGGCTAGTGATGTGGTGTAGAGATAGCCCCAAACTTACAATCTAGGCCAGCATAATTTGTAGAATATATATTTCCTAATCCATTCTAGTGAAAGCCACCGTGGCGTAGCAGCTAGACGCCTTTGGATCGGAAGGGTCGTGGGTTTGGGTCCTTACGGAGTCAGACCTGTTTCAAAGAAAAATGACATTGGCTCTCGGGTTAACCAAGCCTAGAGTGGGCATGAGGTACATTCTTGGGAAGTAAAAGCTTACCACATAACATACCCAGTGCCGATTGATATAACTGTTCGGAATAGTAGTAGTAGATTTTTATCCCATTAGGACATCACACAAGCGATAAACACCCGATGACACAAAATGCCACCGTGTGGATGAAGATCACCCGTGGAGAGGTCCCAGAAAGCGCGTTCAGCCATTAGACCATATTTATGGCCGGGCTATATTGCGGCCCTGGCAAGAGCCAGATTAGGGCTTCAAATAACGAGAAATTTCAAACCACAAAGGGATGACGAGATAGTTCGGAATAGACGGAAGCTAAAATAAATACACGTGGCCTGTGTCAGCTACGTGTACAACCCAGGTTACAACACATCGGTCTCAAAGCACCAAGGAGAGGTAACCACGACCGTCGTGTTATTTGAGAGTATCCACAAATTATCTGCCGCTCATTGTTGACATCAAGAACATTTGTTTGAGATTTAGAAGATTAAACATTTCAAGTCGAAAGGATTAGGAAGGAAGAGGAATTTTTACGATTAGCAGAAGAAGGATGACAGCTAGAAAAAGGAAAGCCTTATTCGGATTAAGTTGTACTAATTATATATATATATATATATATATATATATATATATATATATATATATATATATATATATATATATATATATATATATATAAAGAACATAAGGGAGGAGAAGATGATAAAGAATAAGAGGAAGAAGTAGGTTGACGTCAAAATGATGGAAGAAAAAGAAAATGCAAGAGAAATTGAAGAAGGAGTAGGTGGAAGATGAAAGGGGGAAAAGGAAGAGGAGAAAGTAGGTACCTCCCACACGGTTAACTTACTACTTGAAGTAACCGAGCGGTGGCAGACTTAGTTCAGTTTCTTGTCACAAGATCATCTGTTTACACGTGCTAGATGTTAATGTAAATGCTAATGTCCTACTAATTACTTTACCTACCGTGCTCTTTACATATTTATTTATGCATAGCCTCTTGCTGACCTAGATCACGGCGGTAACGTGATACAGACAGGTGAACAAAACACAGACAGGTGAACATAACACAGACAGGTGAACAAAACACAGACAGGTGAACATAACACAGACAGGTGAACATAAACACAGATAGGTGAACAAAACACAGACAGGTGAACATAACACAGACAGGTGAACAAAACACAGACAGGTGAACAAAACACAGACAGGTGAACATAACACAGACAGGTGAACAAAACACAGACAGGTAAACATAACACAGACAGGTGAACAAAACACAGACAGGTAAACAAAGCACAGACAGGTGAACATAACACAGACAGGTGAACATAACACAGACAGGGGAACATAACACAGACAGGTGAACAAAACACAGACAGGGGAACATAACACAGACAGGTGAACATAACACAGACAGGTGAACATAACACAGACAGGTGAACAAAACACAGACAGGTAAACATAACACAGACAGGTAAACAAAACACAGACAGGTAAACGTAACAAAGACAGGTGAACATAACACAGACAGGTGAACAAAACAAAGGCACGTAAACATAACGCAAACATGTAAACATAATACAGACAGGTAAACATAACACAGACGGGTGAACAAAACAAAGACAGGGGAACATAACACAAACATGTAAACATAACACAGAGAGGTAAACATAACACATACAGTTAACATAACAGATAGGTCTTGGACAGAGAGGCACACAGGCGGAAATAATAAGGAATAAGTGTATCTCATTGAATCTGATTTCTTAAAACAAGACTCCCGAACCTCGTAACTATGTGAACCTAGACTCTCTGAACCTAGTCTCACTGAAAAGGTCTTCCTAAACGTGATCTCTGTAAACCTATATCTCCCTGAATCGTGTCTCTTTAAACCTAAATATCACCCAACCTGTTTTCTGTAAAACAATATCTCACTGAACCTAGTCTGTTTAAACTTAACCATATGAACCTATACCATCACGAACCTATATCTCTCTGAACTTGGTCTCTATAATCCTATATCCATCTGACAACCTATACCTCCTTAAACCTAGTATCTATAAACACATATCTCCTTGAACCTGGTTTCTGTAACCTATATCTCCCTAAACCTGGTCTCTGTTAACTTATATCTCCCCGAATTTGTCTCTGAAAACCTATATCTTACCGAACCTATTCTCTTTAAACCTAACCACCCATAACTCTGAACCTATACCTACCTGGTAAAACCTATACCTCCCGAACCTATACATGCCCGAACCTATAAGTGCCAGAAGCTATACCTCCCGAACCTATACCTACCCGAACCTATACCTACCAGAACCCATACCTACCCGAACCTATACCTCCCTGAACCCTGACTGACTTTTGCCCCCTTCATATTTTGCAGACCCTGTCACACGGCGACTGCGCATGCGCACCACTAGTGTTTAGAAGATGGCGGCCTAGAGAAGAGACGACTGTGTTGTGTGTCTCCAGCTTCAGGCGAATGTGCCTTTGTGTGTGTTCGCTGCTTCAGTCGCCAGCCCGGCCTCTTTGTTTTATTTGCCATCATGTTAACCTGCTCTGACAGTTGCTGACAAATGTTCGAATGCAGTTTAAAAAGAGATTCACTTTAATCTGCATGTGTGGAACTGTCACGGTTGTCGGCTATCTCATCTATTTCCATGCCTTGTCCGAGTACAACAGCCAGCCTAGCAAGTCCCAGCGCCGGAGAACCGTCGTTCTCGGCCAACACTCCTCGGGTAGTGGGGCCAGGAACAATCCGAATTCTTTCCTCATCGACGACGTTGACAGTGTGTTCGCGGACGACCAACATGGAGACCCCAGGTTTCGGTCCCAGGGGGAGACGGCCAAGGACTGGCGTAAGTGCCGAATGGAAACCTGCTTCGACTTTGACAGATGTAAACACGGGTTTAAAATTTATCTCTACCCCCGCCAGGCGCCGGTCTCGGCGCCCTATGCCAAAATTCTGAGTGTGTTGGAGAAGTCTCGTTACCTTACAGCCAACCCACAAGAAGCCTGTGTGTTCATTCCAACAATCGACACCTTGGACCAGGATGTTTTAAGTAAAGATTATGTTCCAGATGTAGAAAAGAAGCTGGAAAGTCTCCCTTATTGGAATGGAGGCCGCAATCATCTTTTATTTAATCAGTATTCGGGAACCTGGCCGCTGTATTCCGAAGAGTTAAAATTTATTAAACAGGCCATGCTGGTGAAATCTAGCATGTCCATTGACTGGATCAGATATGGATTTGATGTATCCATGCCTCTATTTCCCAAAGACCATCCACAGTCTGGTGGTGAGATGGGCTATCTCCACAATGCATCAAACTCAATCCCTTCAGTTAGGCACTACCTGCTGGCGTTCAAGGGAAAACGCTACTTGAACGGTATCGGTTCGGATACAAGGAATAGTTTGTACCATATCCACAACGGCAAGGACATCATAGCTCTGACAACTTGTAAACATGGGAAGGGCTGGGAGAAGCTCATGGATGATCGCTGTCTGCAGGATAATGAGGAGTACGAAAAGTAAGTATTTTGTTTCTGTCTGTCTGTGTGAGAGGAAGGAAGGCAGGCATTTCACAACAATTACTATATGTAAGAAAGAATTAGAGTAATATTTGGCCAGAGTATTTTATATCTTCTTTTTGTTTGTCCCAGAGATGTGATTGCTTTGTGCCTGTTTACAGCAAAGCTGCGATATATGCACCTTTAGGTTGACACATCCAACTTTGTTGAGCATTTTTTATTGACCAGGTTAACTTCCCAGAGATGTTTCATATAACTGGATGAAACATTCTTGCATAATTTTATTTACTTTCAGTAATGACTTTTGTCTGTTAATATAATCAGCCTAACATCCAGTTTCAGCTGACCCTAATTAGTCATCGGCTATCCTCCGAATAACGGTCATAAATTATCGAGGTAGAAAATATACCCTAACAGAGCCTCAGTCACGTGTCAATTGCTCACTTCCGCCATCTTAAAATGCGCGCTTCTGGCGACTTCCGCCACCGCCGAATTGCAAACTTTCGGCAACTTCCGCCACCGCCGAGAGTGTCCCCCACGCCGCTCATGCGGCTTTGATTGGGGCTAAACTAGATGGCTAGGGCTCACAAGCAGCAGCTACTGCATCTCCTGCAGCTTCCTTCATTTTATTTGCTCGTGAGCCCTAGCCATCTAGTTTAGCCCCAATCCATGCAGCGTTGGGGACACTCTCGGCGGTGGCAGCAGTTCACAATTCGGCGGTGGCGTTATAGTCCCTGGAAGTGCGCAATTGACACGTGACTGAGGTCCAGTTAGGGTATATTTTCCGCCTCAATAATTTACGACCGTTATTCAGAGGATAGCCTAGTCATCTTCTATGACAAGCTTGTTGGGAGGACAGTGAGTCTATTTATTCTTGTTCCCGCCCCCCCCCTCCCCCCCCCCCACAATGAGGCTTGTTTATTTTACTCAACTTACACCATGTATTGACATCGTCAACTTTATATACTTTTTTAAGAAAAAAAGGGTCATGCACTCTGTCAGAAGTGAACAGAATCTGACCAGAGATGACCACCACTTACTTGACCGGCATGGGCACGTCATTCATTACTCTTCGCCTCAGGATAGGTGTATTGTTTTGTTTCTTGAATTCTCACATATGGTGACACTTATGCTTGTATGTGCAAACCTTCAGACATCTTCTTCGCTTGTTACCACTCAGGGCAACACGTAAATATGCATTCTGGTTCTCACTTTTCTGACCGCTTCAACTATAAATACTATTGTAGAGATTCCCTGATCTGATCTTACATCTAATGACCTTGGCTCCTAGGCTGACCCAGTCTTAAATAGGTACCAGGTACAGTCCCGGGAAGTAAAGGCAGCTGGCGTTATGTCAACCAGATCACCCATCAAATGCTGATCGTCTATAAAATATAAGTCTAGCCCTGTAAGCTCAATAGGTATGAAGGTATGGAAAGGGGTCCTTCGCTTTTCTTTCTTGTCCTAGATCTATCCTCTATGTTGTTGGTCTATGCCTGGTACTGTATCAGACAGCTTTTCTTTCTTGTCCTAGATCTATCCTCTATGTTGTTGGTCTGTGCCTGGTACTGTATCAGACAGCTTTTCTTTCTTGTCCTAGATCTATCCTCTATGTTGTTGGTCTATGCCTGGTACTGTATCAGACAGCTTTTCTTTCTTGTCCTAGATCTATCCTCTATGTTGTTGGTCTATGCCTGGTACTGTATCAGACAGCTTTTCTTTCTTGTCCTAGATCTATCCTCTATGTTGTTGGTCTATGCCTGGTACTGTATCAGACAGCTTTTCTTTCTTGTCCTAGATCTATCCTCTATGTTGTTGGTCTATGCCTGGTACTGCATCAGACAGCTTTTCTTTCTTGTCCTAGATCTATCCTCTATGTTGTTGGTCTATGCCTGGTACTGTATCAGAAAGCTTTCCTTTCTTGTCCTAGATCTATCCTCTATGTTGTTGGTCTATGCCTGGTACTGTATCAGACAGCTTTTCTTTCTTGTCCTAGATCTATCCTCTATGTTGTTGGTCTATGCCTGGTACTGTATCAGACAGCTTTTCTTTCTTGTCCTAGATCTATCCTCTATGTTGTTGGTCTATGCATGGTACTGTATCAGACAGCTTTCCTTTCTTGTCCTAGATCTATCCTCAATGTTGTTGGTCTATGCCTGGTACTGTATCAGACAGCTTTCCTTTCTTGTCCTAGATCTATCCTCTATGTTGTTGGTCTATGCCTGGTACTGTATCAGACAGCTTTCCTTTCTTGTCCTAGATCTATCCTCTATGTTGTTGGTCTATGCCTGGTACTGTATCAGACAGCTTTTCTTTCTTGTCCTAGATCTATCCTCTATGTTGTTGGTCTATGCCTGGTACTGGATCAGACAGCTTGTCTTTCTTCTCCTAGATCTATCCTCTATGTTGTTGTTGGTCTATGCCTGGTACTGCATCAGACAGCTTCTCTTTCTTGTCCTAGATCTATCCTCTATGTTGTTGGTCTATGCCTGGCACTGTATCAGACAGCTTCTCTTTCTTGTCCTAGATCTATCCTCTATGTTGTTGGTCTATGCCTGGTACTGCATCAGACAGCTTTTCTTTCTTGTCCTAGATCTATCCTCTATGTTGGTCTATGCCTGGTACTGCATCAGACAGCTTCTCTTTCTTGTCCTAGATCTATCCTCTATGTTGGTCTATGCCTGGTACTGCATCAGACAGCTTCTCTTTCTTGTCCTAGATCTATCCTCTATGTTGTTGGTCTATGCCTGGTACTGGATCAGACAGCTTGTCTTTCTTCTCCTAGATCTATCCTCTATGTTGTTGTTGGTCTATGCCTGGTACTGCATCAGACAGCTTCTCTTTCTTGTCCTAGATCTATCCTCTATGTTGTTGGTCTATGCCTGGTACTGCATCAGACAGCTTTTCTTTCTTGTCCTAGATCTATCCTCTATGTTGGTCTATGCCTGGTACTGCATCAGACAGCTTCTCTTTCTTGTCCTAGATCTATCCTCTATGTTGTTGGTCTATGCCTGGTACTGCATCAGACAGCTTCTCTTTCTTGTCCTAGATCTATCCTCTATGTTGTTGGTCTATGCCTGGTACTGTATCAGACAGCTTCTCTTTCTTGTCCTAGATCTATCCTCTATGTTGTTGGTCTATGCCTGGTACTGCATCAGACAGCTTTTCTTTCTTGTCCTAGATCTATCCTCTATGTTGGTCAATGCCTGGTTCTGCATCAGAAAGCGTTCTGAATGGACACACCATTGTATATGGTATCATTGTGCTCATTGTTTCTCTCTTGTTCTGTTCTCTTATGGTTTCGTTTTTGATTTTATTACTTCAGTCACTTGAAATATTTACACAGAGTAGCTGACCACTCTGTTTCTTCTTCTTGTTTTCCTCTCCTCCTCCTTTTTCTTCTTCTGCATTTGCCCTAATGGTGGTTGGCACTCTGTATTGTAGCTTACAGCTAGGCTGCAATAGCTGCACCTTTTGGACTTACATGTCCAGTTTCAGCAAACCTCAATTTTAATCTAGTGTCAGCGTCATACCCAGGGTGGAAATAACATTGACTGCTGAAGACAGGGATAGAGCAAGTATGGGAATAACCTGCTGGTGGTGATGGCCAGTCATTTGATGACGAAAACCCTTCTCACCACTTGAATATGACTAACCACCGGACGGATGTTTCTGTGTGTCTGACAGAAATCTGAATTGTGTCTATATGGAGACATGGGACTCACAGCTATGGTTACAAGTGTGCCTGTGGTATATACAGAAATGTCGATTGTTGGAGTACACTTAATGCCTTTCATGTGGGGGGAGGGATTGTGGGACCTCCCGACTGGGACAGGTCTGGTGAGGAAAATTATATCAGAACAGGTGTAAATGGTAGATAAGGCATTGCACTGAAACGGCAGCGCTACAACAGTCAACAAATGAAATATTTTGAGAAGCTGGATCTTTGATGTAGCAGCATACAGACCTGAGTCATGGGCTAGTGGCACTTGAGTCATGGGCTTGTGGCACCTGAGTCATGGGCTAGTGGGACCTGAGTCATGGGCTAGTGGGACCTGAGTCATGGGCTAGTCGGACCTGAGTCATGGGCTTGTGGGACCTGAGTCATGGGCTAGTCGGACCTGAGTCATGGGCTAGTGGGACCTGAGTCATGGGCTAGTCGGACCTGAGTCATGGGCTAGTCGGACCTGAGTCATGGGCTAGTGGGACCTGTGTCATGGGCTAGTCGGACCTGAGTCATGGGCTAGTGGGACCTGAGTCATGGGCTAGTCGGACCTGAGTCATGGGCTAGTCGGACCGGAGTCATGTGCTAGTGGGACCTGAGTCATGGGCTAGTCGGACCTGAGTCATGGGCTAGTAGGACCTGAGTCATGGGCTAGTCGGACCTGAGTCATGGGCTAGTCGGACCTGAGTCATGGGCTAGTCGACAGTTGTGTAGAAGGGAAATGCAGTGAGCCAAGAAGAAGAATACGAATTTTGTACCAGCAAGAACATCATAGATGTAGGATATTGATAGAAAGAACATCATAGATGTAGGATATTGATAGAAAGAACGTCATAGATGTAGGACATTGATGGAATGAACATCATAGATCTAGGACATTGATAGAAAGAACATCATAGATCTAGGACATTGATGGAAGGAACATCATAGATCTAGGACATTGATAGAAAGAACATCATAGATATAGGACATTGATGGAAGGAACATCATAGATCTAGGACATTGATAGAAAGAACATCATAGATCTAGGACATTGATAGGAAGAACATCATAGATGTAGGACATTGATAGAAAGAACATCATAGATCCAGGACATTGATAGAAAGAACATCATAGATATAGGACATTGATAGGAAGAACATCATAAATGTAGGACATTGATAGAAAGAACATCATAGATATAGGACATTGATAGGAAGAACATCATAAATGTAGGATATTGATAGAAAGAACATCATAGATATAGGACATTGATAGGAAGAACATCATAGATGTAGGACATTGATAGGAAGAACATCATAGATGTAGGACATTGATGGAAGGAACATCATAGATGTAGGACATTGATAGGAAGAACATCATAGATGTAGGACATTGATGGAAGGAACATCATAGATGTAGGACATGGATAGAAAGAACATCATAGATCTAGGAAATTGATAGAAAGAACATCATAGAAATAGGACATTGATAGAAAGAACATCATAGATATAGGACATTGATAGAAAGAACATCATAGATATAGGACATTGATAGGAAGAACATCATAGATATAGGACATTGATAGAAAGAACATCATAGATATAGGACATTGATAGAAAGAACATCATAGATATAGGACATTGATAGAAAGAACATCATAGATATAGGACATTGATAGAAAGAACATCATAGATATAGGACATTGCTGGAAGGAACATCATAGATCTAGGACATTGATAGAAGGAACATCATAGATCTAGGACATTGATAGGAAGAACATCATAGATTTAGGACATTGATAGAAAGAACATCATAGATCTAGGACATTGATAGGAAGAACATCATAGATGTAGGACATTGATAGGAAGAACATCATAGATATAGGACATTGATAGAAAGAACATCATAGATATAGGACATTGATAGAAAGAATATCATAGATATAGGACATTGATAGAAAGAACATCATAGATATAGGACATTGCTAGAAAGAACATCATAGATGTAGGACGTTGATGGAAGGAACATCATAGATCTAGGACATTGATAGGAAGAACATCATAGACTTAGGACATTGATAGAAAGAACATCATAGATCTAGGACATTGATAGGAAGAACATCATAGATGTAGGACATTGATAGAAAGAACATCATAGATATAGGACATTGATAGGAAGAACATCATAGATGTAGGATATTGATAGAAAGAACATCATAGATATAGGACATTGATGGAAAGAACATCATAGATATAGGACATTGATAGGAAGAACATCATAGATATAGGACATTGATGGAAAGAACATCATAGATCTAGGACATTGATAGAAAGAACATCATAGATATAGGACATTGATGGAAAGAACATCATAGATATAGGACATTGATAGATAGAACATTATAGAAAGAACATCATAGACATGGGACATTGATGGAAATAACATCATAGATATATGACATTGATGGAAAGAACATCATAGATATAGGACATTGATGGAAAGAACATCATAGATATAGGACATTGATACATTCTGTGCATGATAGTACACGGGGGGGGGGGGGCGCATTAGCATCTAGTCATTCTTGCAGCCCGTTATGAGAGCCAGGTGGGTGGCCTTGTTACATGGCGTGAGATAGGCAGTCCAGTCATTCTTGCAGCACGTTATGAGAGCCAGGTGGGTGGCCTTGTTACATGGCGTGAGATAGGGAGTCCATTTCTATTCTTTCTTTTTTTTGCCCTTTATCCCCCAGTGGAGCATAAGCCACACACCAACACACGTCACGTCTTCCTATCCTTTGCTGCTGCATGCATCCTCTCCGTCTTTCCCATCTTTTACTTGTTATTTAAAAACAAAATACTTTTCCACAGTTTTTTTACATGGTGGGATAGCTAACACCAAGCGTAACCCTTCCATTAGTCGCCTCTTGCGACATGCTTGATGTTACTATTTTTAGTTTTATGTGAGGGACGTTACCACACGGACGATGGTAGTTATTTCCCTACTGTTCGTATTTATGTCACATCCCAGCTTTGATGTTTTATCAAGCCGCCAGACAACTACTTGATAATGGCATGTCAATAGTCACGCATGAACGACGACCGAGTATCTTTTTGTCGTCAAGGACTCCCCACCATCGTTGCAGGGAGGCATTTTTCCACATATGCACACATTTCAAAGAGTAACTTCCCGTTGCCACAGTTCCTGTTACATAAGCCAGACCCCACGAGATAACCTCACATTCCTGACATTTTATTATCTTTTCAGGGCAGTTATATATATATATGTAGGGTTTTTGTTCAGTCTCACTATATTTTGTTTGTAGAACAAATGTGAACAACGAAATACATCTTCACAAAATGTGCTCAACAGTCAGTCGTGAAGCAGTGTGAAAATCAGTCTTCTATTTTAGTAATTCTTTGCACTGAAAGAAATGTTGACAGAAATAATGTACACACAGTTAAGGACCTGAAAACCGAGCAATCAAAATAACCATTCAAGAATTACGAACAGACACAGTGCAGAAGATATCTGACAGAATGAGGAGACATGTACAGTCAGTCGTGTATTGAAGTCTGTGGTGGATGTTTTCCACATCTGTTATAATGAATTGGTACTGTCCAGCTTTCCCAAATTAGAGTAGATCGTAGCAGTGACTGGTGTAAATATTTTAATAACTTGTAAGCACATTTTTTTTTTCAATGACCTCTTATATTTAGTTTTTCATATTTGTTCAGCATTGGAAGTGTTTACAAACACCCTGTGTGTGCGTGCATGTGTAAATGTTCAACTTTTGTTTCCCTATCAGCAATGTAGATAGAGCCCAGTATGTGTCCACACACCTAAAGATGTGTACCTACATTTGTTCCTCAAACATGTAATCAGTTTGATTTTCTGTTTTGTGGTCTGTTTGTACCCATCTTGCCATGTTTGTCCTTTTATGTGGGCAAAAACGTGTTATTTTATGATACAGAACGCACAAATTGATGAACAAATCTTCATTTTTCGTTCAGTATACCAAGTCTCGCGTGGCTCAGATAATCTCGCCATAACAAGTGTTATCGGAAGTTATCTTGGCACCGGGACCATATTTTTGATATGGTTACATTTTTTATTACCTTTGTAGCTTGAAGTTTTTAAGGAGAAATCTCCATGGAGTGATTTATCACTATTATTTGTTGGTGCGTCACAGGGGAGCTAATTCCACGTTTATGTGGCTGTTGGCGTTTCCACATGTTTGAGAATTCATTTCTGCCCGTTCTCAGCTTTTTAAAAAAAATACAGGGCCACAGTTTCAGCTGTGTTTAGAAACTTTCAGTGTTGCCTATTCCCTTTGGTTTCGCCGAATGCCAAAAATGCCAGTTATATTTTTCCATTTCCGCTACCGCTTGTGGGGTCTTCCCCTGTTCCTGTGAAGTTATAACATTCCAGGTTCTGATTGTGGAGATTTCCTAGGTGAAGGGAGCTAACTCGGCAATCCAAGCTCCTGTTAACAGGCGTTACTAGCAACAGACGAGCTACCTACAT